GGAGAACGCTGGCTCCCTTTGGAGGGGCACCTATCGGTGTGTCCTGCCTTGTCCTCGGGAGGCCTGGCCCTCTGTCCTGGTCAACCTGCTCTGGCTCCACGGCCCTGATCATCTTGTCACCTTAACACATCCTGCACACTCTTTAAGTACGATGGGCAGTTGTAGTTAGGTTTTTTTTTTTAACTCTTTGGGGACCCACCACCCAGCTCCCAAATAAAGACATGGAGTCTTATTCTTACTTATGAATGCCCAGCCTTAACATGCTGGTTTCTAGCCAGCTTTTCTAACTTAAATTATCCTGTTTCTCTTTAACTATGTTTGCCTTTGGTCATTTTAACCTTTCTTTATTCTATGTATCTTTCTTTTAATTCTTACTCCATGGTTGGCTGTGTGACTGGGTGGCTGGCCCCTGGCCTCCTCCTCTCCTTCTCCTTATCTCACTCCTCCACCTTCTCTCTTCTTCCTCTCCTGTTTATTCTCTCTGCCTGGCAGCCCCTCCTATTTCTCTCTCCTGCCTCGCTATTGGCCATTCAGATCTTTATTAGACCAATCAGGTGTCTTAGACAGGCAAAGTAACACAGCTTCACAGAGATAAACAAATGCATCATAAAAGAATGTAACACATCTTTGCATCATTCAATAAATATTCTACAGCACAAATGTAACACATCTTAAACTAATATCCCATAACACGTAGCAGCTTGAGGCTGGGATTCTAAGGAGCTAACTCAGGCTCCTTTTCTTTGGATGTCAAAAGAAGCCACTTCCTGGGAACCCAAGACCCCCTGTGTCCTTCAGCGTGTGTTTATAGGAAGGCTGACCCATGTCCTCACCCCATGGAGCACTTGGGCTCATTGACTGCTGTCCTCTGGCCTGAATTCAGGATCATCATATCCCATGTCATTCACCCTGCACCTGCTGGAGGGATGCAAAACAAAAAGGAGCATCAACCTGGCTGTTTGAGAACAGATTAATTCCCATCATTCAGTTCTTCCTACCACTGTCACTGTAGGGCTAAAGGGAAGAAAGAGCAGGGTCGGGGACAGGGACTACTCTGGATCTAAAGCCTGAGCTGCTTCCTTCATTCCTTGCCTGGGGAGATGAAGCAAAGTTCCATGAATTTACTTTGAGATCTGTCCCATGGTGTCTCCAAGCATGGCATCACAGAACTTGCCAGGGGCTACTTAAAAATAGATAAATAGATAGATAAATAAAACGAGTCAGTTCAGGGAGGCTTAGGATCCACTGCTTCTTAGGATCCACTGTGTAGCTCTAACAGGTAGGACTTAGCCAGTTCGACCAATGCCATTGATAATGAGTGTGGACAATCCTGACTTAGGATGGTTCAACTTGGAGTGTTCAACTTTATGATGGTATGAAAACCACACACCTTTCATAGAAACTCTCTTCAGATTTTAAATTTTGAATCTGAGCATTTCCTGACATAGTAGTGTGAGCCCTGAGAGGACAGAACCCCTAGAGACAGGTGAGGATGTGGAGCTTCAGGTAAAGGCAGAGATCTACTTATGATCAAGAGATGGCCTCAAGTCTCAGGTGTCTGTCATATGCTGGCTAGTTGTTTTGTTTTGTTTTGTATCAAGTTGCCACAAGCTAGAGTCATCTGAGAGGAGGGACCCTCAACTGAGAAAATGCCTCCATAAGATCAGCCTGCGGACAGTTGACATTTGGAGGGCCCAGCCCACTGTGGCCTACTCCAGTGGTCCTGGATGGAATAAGAAAGCAGACTAAATCAGCCATCATGAACAAGTCAGTAAGCAGCACTCCTCTGTGGCTTGTTTCTCTTCCTCCTCTGTGTTCCTGTCCTGATGCTTCCTAGTGATGGACTATGACCTGAAAGTTATGAGCTTTTTCTGAAATCTGTAAACATTTTCTTTCCCAAGTTGATTTTGATCATGGCATTTTTTTTTATCACAGCAATAGAAACCTAAGACATGTCTCTTGTCTCGCTACAGGGGACAGACATTCAGGTCTTAGATCCTGGGAGCTTCCAGTCCATCATCCCTCATGCAAGATGGAGGTACAGACAGGTCCTTAGACCCCAGCAGCCAAGATCCACAGGGTACTGTGGCTTTGTTGAAGCCTCCAGGTGAGGGAATAGGCAGTGGGGAGAACTGAGAGAGAGTGGCCTGGAAGATGAGACAGCCACCGACTGGAAGGCAAGCATGCTGGAATCTGGATGTTCCTGCAGCACCCAGAAGGAATTCCAGTCCGTCTGTATAGAGCTCCATGGCTTGGGCCGAGAGGCAGAGCAGGAACAGGGAGTCCTCTAGAGAGGGAAAACATTTTGTCCTCGAGCCCTCTCAATCTGTGCAAGACAGGAAATTCCTCAACCCTCCAGAGGCAGCCAGCTTCCCTGACCGTGGCAGCCCAGGCAGGGACATGAGGTAGATTTGTGCGTTTCCAATACAGGCTCCCTAAGTCCACTCCCACAGCCTCCTGCCAAGACCCCTCCTGCAGCTGCACTCCATCAAAAGAGAATTCCTGAGATGGGGGCAGGGGATCAAGAACCCTACCTGGTGGCCAGGAGCATATCTGTCTTAGCTGCTCTTGTGTGTCTGTTCCTTATCCTCCCTGGGACACTGGCTGGGAAGAAGCTTCATTCTGACCTTTATTCAACCCTCTGGGCCTTATCCTTCCATGGTCCCAGAGGCTGGGCTGGAGGAGCTTTGCTTTCTGTGGCCCCAGGTAAAAGTTAACATGGTAGAGAGAACACTCTGGAAACTATCCCGAGTTCTAGAGTTTGAAAAGAGGTTTGTAATTTATTTCCCTGTGGTCCCAGTTATAAAAAGATGCCCGAAGATGGATACTTTGTAACAAGCTTGTCTTAGTTCCTACTTCTAGAGGTCAGAAAGGGAGACACAGATATTTTCACAGGTCTTCATGAACGTTTCACACTCTGTCCTATCAGAGCTAAGAAGCAGTAGAAGTGGGGCCATGTAAAAGTGCGTGCTGAAGACAGAGCAGTGCAGGTTCCAGGCAGGTTCCAGGCTCACTTTAGAACACTGTTCTCACGTTAACCAGTCCAGTTCCATGAGACCCAACTCAATCCTGAAAGAACTAACCCATTGTCTAAAGAGCTTTATCAATCTCTTGAGAAAGTCTTTAATCCCTTCATAGGGGGTGCTGTCTCCATGACCTAATCGCCCTTCAGAAGACCCCTTTCCAATGCTTTCATTTTGAGAGTGAAGTTTCTTTATGACTCTCAATGATCATGTAGAACCCTTGCTTATCTCAGGCCCTGAGTTTGATACCCAATACAGCAAACACACAAAAGTTAATAATTTAATGCTGTTCACCCTGAGTTTTAATAAATTCAAACCATAGTACCTGCCCTGCTAATCTTATGCCCTACAGTACCAGAAACAAGCAAACAAAAAACCAGCAAAAGGCTACAGGAGAGGACAGACACTGGATAGTGAAGGGTTTGTCCTGCATTTGAAGCAGCCAGTTCTTTACCTCCTAGCGACTGGCTAAAGCCAGCTTAGGGATAGATGGCAAGAATAAGGAAAAGCCCTTCTGTGTATCTGATTCCTCAGAGAGCTGAATATGGGCGGACCAGGCCTGTACCCAGAGACCTGTCCTGGTCATTGCCCTTAGCTGGCACACTCCCTTTGACCCTCTCCCAGATACGCTGAAGTCTTCTGAAAGTACAGTAAGCTGCGTGTATTTTAGGAGTTGAACTTAATGAGTTCGGAAGACATGTTTACAATGTTTACAACCATGGAACATTTACCACGGACTAAAAAGTGAACATTTCTGTTTCTCTTAAGCATTCCTCAGTGCTCTTTTCTGATCCATCTCCCGCCCCTCGCTGCGCACACCCACTGATATGCTGTCTGGTTCTCTGGTTTGATCTCTCTCTTTCTCTCTCTGTCTCTCTGTCTCTGTCTCTCTGTGTGTGTGTGTGAGAGAGAGAGAGGAGGGGGAGAGTGTGTGTGTGAGAGAGAGAGAGAAAGAGGGAAAGAGAGGGGGAGAGTATGTGTGTGTGTATGTGAGGGAGAGTGTGTGTGTGTGTGTGTGTGTGTGTGTATGTGTGTGTGTGTGAGAGGGGGGAAGGGTGTGTGTGTGTGTGTGTGTGTGTGTGTGTGTGAGAGAGAGAGAGAGAGAGAGAGAGAGAGAGAGAGAGAGAGAGAGAGAGAAGTGGGGACTGTAAAAATGAATCCTAACCCTTGCACAGGTGAGGCTGCCGCTCAATCACTGAGTCACACCCCACCATCCCACCCTGTAGTTTTGCTTTGTATAGCCAAGATATGACCATACCCTAAGTTGGCCTCAAACCCACCGTTCTCCTGCCTCTGCCTCCTGAGTGCAGGGATTAGAGGTGTGTGTCACCACACCTAGCTTTAGTTTATTTTTCAGAAAAGGCAAGAAATGAGCCCAGAAGTAGAGGTTGTTAGTAGAGTAGGTGTTTATATCTGAGATTCCAGATTTGCTACCCAGCACCGAAAAAAGAGGTAAGAAGAGGACTGGTAGGAGAAGAAAGAAGAAGAAGAAAGAGAATTGTTCAGTTTGCTGTGTATGTTGTACACACAGACCATGTCTGGCAGGATTAAGAATCCAAGCATTGTTTACTGCTGAGGAGACAGTGCCAGGGAGCGAGCGGGGTTGGAAGGGAGACTTTACATAGGCCTTTTGGCATTTTTGAATTCTGTGTCACATGAGTGAATCACTTAATTCAAAAGAACAAAGAGAATTTAAGGGGGAAAATCTTAATGAAGATGCCAAGTGTGAACTTCCTCCCTGAGGTTCTCCTCAGGAAGCCGAGCTTGCTTGCCCAGGACTCCACGGAACTTCACTGTTTAGTCTCTGCTGTCAAGCAAGAGCATTGTCACGTCAAGTAGTGACCTGGGGCCTATGTCCCCAGTGCTCTCCAGAGCCTCCCAGCATGCATGAGACCCGAGCTTCTGCACAAATGTGTCGTCTAGTGTGTTTGAGTGTGTGAAAGAATGCTTCTCTCCCATTTTATTTCCACCACACAGAAAAGAAGAGTGAAGGAGAGAGGGAACACCTTCTGCCCCCGACTCCCAGCAAGCCTGTCGCACCCATCTTCCTGCAAGGCCTCTCTGATCTCAAAGTCATGGATGGAAGCCAGGTCACCATGACAGTCCAGGTGTCAGGTCTGTCCATACAGCTCTCTCCTTGGGGTGTGTAAGAGGGTCACCATGTGGCAGTGGGTATTGCTCCTAGATGCCCAGATAACCATCGTGGAACCATCAGCAAGGGGAATGGAGCCTCTTGGTTTCTCCTGCTGTGTGGGTATCCTTTATAGATTGAGGGTTTTATGGACCAGAGGAAGAAGATGGCAAAGATTAATGTGCCTAGTCCCAATGGAAAGTTTGGGGTCTTGTTTTTGGTTTCGTTTTGTTTTAAATAATTCCAACTCTTTTTTAATTGGTACATATTCATTGTAAGAAAATAATGAGTTTCATAATTATATTTTATTCAAAAGTGTCATATACTTTAACTATATTTACTAGTTACCTTTCCTTTCCTCCCACCAGCCCCCTTCTATTTCCCAAATAGTCTCCCTTCTACTTTCAAGTCATTTGAGGAAAAAAAAAACAGGGGTCCCCAGTCTTTCTGCTCTTAATTGATATAATGGTTGGAAACTTAGCCAGAGCAATAAGGCAAGAGAAAGAAATGAAAAGGTTGCAAATAGGAAAAGAGGAAGCCAAATTATCCAATTTGTAGGAAATATAAGTCTATACTTTAAAAACCCTAAAGACTTTCTAGAAAGTTTTTAGATGGTGCAGAATGAGCTTGTGTGAGGTCTCGAGTCTCAGCAGCCATCTGAGTTGCTCCAGTCAGATTCTGAGGTAGAAAGTCAATAATCAGAGATCCTTTTAAAACAGGCAAAGAAATGTGGCTTGCACAGAGACCAAGCTCTCCTGCCCCTTGCTGGAGTTAGCAGGAGAGGCTCACAAAGTCCCAGCTCCACACGCAGGACAGAGTAGACCTAGTACCTTTGGATGCATCTGTGGTTCTTGGTTCCTATCAGTGCCTCTGAAAACTAGGAGGGCCCATCTCTGGCTTCCTAGTTCCTCTAGACCTGCAAAGGCAATAAATATGAGGGAACCTGAAGACACGTCCTTGAAGAGGTGATGATCCCCGGCTCCTGGAGGATGAAGGCCTTTCCATGAGAGCTTCAACAGAGGCTAGATCTCTTCTCCACATTTGCCATGCAAATTGGATGCCTCACTGACATCCAATTGAAAGAGATGAGAGGCACTTTGTACCTGATCTCCAGACCTGTGCCTGTCCCGTGCAGACAAATGGCCATCTGCTCACTCTAAGTCCCCCCAGGGGCTTCACTCCTCTGGAAGCAGAGCCTCATGGTCAGCTTTCATATCTAAGGAAAGCCTCACATGGTCATTTATCTGTACCCACAACACATTCCAGAAACATAGGCTGGCACTCATACCCCTCCACCAACCATGTTTAGAAACCCTCTGCAAGCTGGGGTCCTGAGACCACATTTGTGTGGTGGCCCCGTGCTTACAGAGTTCTTTCTGGTGATAGTCTGCAAGGGAGCTACCGTGGCATCACCATTGTCTGCCTGTGGAGTCTCCATGTGAGGCAGGGCAGGGCAGGGCAGAAACACCTTCAGGGTTAGGGGTTCTCTTTGTGCTACATGCCATCCTGTGAGCAGCTGGCAAAAGTTCGATTGACTCCATTATTTCTCTTAACAATCCTACAAGACAGAACGTGTGAGGAAACTAAGTAAAGCCTTTGGTAGCGTGTTCAGCCCAGCATTAGCATGTTAAGTGCACAGTTGCTTCCTGGCTAGGGAAGTCCCCCTCTCACAATCTTCTGTTGCTACTCTGCTCAGGGAACCCACCTCCAGAAGTCATATGGTTTCACAATGAGAATGAGATCCAGGAGTCAGAAGACTTCCACTTTGAACAGAAGGGAGGCCGGCACAGCCTGTGTATCCAGGAGGTGTTCCCAGAGGACACGGGCACATATACCTGTGAGGCCTGGAACAGTGCTGGAGAAGTCCGCACCCAGGCCATACTCACCGTGCAAGGTGAACCTGAGCTCCTTTTGGGGGTGGGGGGGGATGGGGATTTCCAGATTCTGTAAAAGCTGTTTAGAGGTGAGGGAAACACAGGAGACCACTCTGGTCCCATTGCAGCCTCAGAGGCAGATCATTGTCTCCATCTCAAATTCCTGCAGAGTGGGGCTTCCTTCCCAGCTTTCTGAGGTCCCAACTCTCTCTGGGCTGCTTCTAAACTGGATGGATTGCTGAGGTAATTCCATAATATCCTCAGTTTGGTGCTGATGGTTTGGGATATGAATTACACACTTATGAGTCCTTTCTGTTGAAGCCTCCTTTTAAAAAGAAAAGGTGAGATACACACATGCCGTGAGCAACAGTTCCCAGCAGTCACACTGGATACAGATCTGGAGCACCCAGCCTGGGACTCCGTACTGTCATTGCCCTCACTTTGACTTATATAAATTCATTCTAATAGTATCGTCTGATAACATAACTGAGACATATTTTCAAGAAGTATGTGCTGTATCTGCATACCCCGTCCAAGAACCTTCTGGACCACCTAGTCTTTGGTAACACACTTCGGTTAACAAGGTCTTCTGACCCTTTGCCCTCATAGAGGATGGAGTGGATGCCAAGCCCTGTATTGAAGGGCTTCCATTTCAATTTTTCCCCCCTTGCCTACTTCCAGAGCCTCATGACGGCACCCAGCCCTGGTTCATCAGCAAGCCTCGTTCAGTGACAGCCTCCCTGGGCCAGAGTGTCCTCATCTCCTGTGCCATAGCTGGAGACCCCTTCCCCACTGTGCACTGGCTCCGAGATGGCAAAGCCCTCTCCAAGGATAACGGCCACTTCGAGCTGTTGCAGAATGAGGACGTGTTCACCTTGGTCCTAAAGAACGTGCAGCCCTGGCATGCCGGCCAGTATGAGATCATGCTTAAGTGAGTTTGCGTGTTCTGCCAGCCTTCCTCATCCCCACCTCAGACTCCTGGGCTAGGACCGGGAAGCCAGAGGAAACCACAGCTGGTGCAGGCCCAGTGCGGTTACCATGCTCTTGGTTCTTGCTGTTGAAAGGACAGGTTCTCATGGAGAGTCCCTCCCTCTGAGCTCAGTTCCCCAGGAACTTGGTTCCCCAGGAGCCTCTCGCATTACATATTGACTTGAGAT